GCACGCCTCTACGTGGAGCACATACATCGTCAATTGCATCATGCCGGCGTAGAGGCCACGATCAATGAGTGTCGCCAGAAATATTGGTTACTGCGTCTGAGAACAACAGTACGAAGCGTCATACACCGATGTCTGCTATGCCGTATCAGGAAGGAGAAGCCACCAGTACCTCCGACGGGCAATCATCCACATACAAGACTCGCACACCATACGCGAGCCTTCACGTACACCGGAGTGGATTATTTCGGACCACTAAACGTTACCGTCGGAAGAGCGAGACAAAAGAGATACGTGGCTCTCTTCACTTGCCTCACCACGAGGGCAATTCATTTAGAGATAGCGGGCTCATTGAGCACGAATGCAGCAGTCATGGCTTTGCGACGAATGATAGCTAGACGGGGCTGCCCAACCGAAATCTGGTCTGACAACGGAACTAACTTACAGGGAGCCGCCAAAGAAATACGTCAAGCCATGGACAAAGCAACTCAGGAAGAAGCCAGTAAGAAAATGATAGCGTGGCGATTCATCCCTCCAAGTGCTCCATTCATGGGCGGCGCTTGGGAACGCCTAGTTAGAAGTGTAAAAATATCGCTAGATACAGTTTTACACGAGCGCTTCCCTACAGAAGAGGTGTTGGCGACATTATTAGCGGAAATCGAATTTACAGTAAACAGTCGCCCTCTCACCCACGTATCAACAGAGCCGGAAGACGCCGAGGCGCTTACACCGAATCACTTTCTCCTCGGCGGGCCAGCACGAACACCAACAGTCGGCACCTTCGACGACGCCGACCTCATCGGACGAGCGCACTGGAGAGCTTCGCAGCGTCTAGCCGACCTTTTCTGGGCTAGATGGGTACGCGAGTACTTACCCGAGCTACAACACCGGCGGGAGCCACGCGGAAAGGGCCCTCTAATAGACGTCGGAGATACCGTACTAATAGCCGACGGAACCCTTCCACGCAACACCTGGCCCCGGGGATTAATAACTGCAACTTTCCCCGGACCCGACGGCATTGTACGCACCGTCGATGTACGCACGAAAGCTGGGACCCTGCGAAGACCTACGAAGAAGCTGGTGGTGCTGACATCTCATCGAGCCAGTCTACAGGATGCGTCGACCACGGAGGACGACGCACGGCGGGAG